CATGGTAGTGGCAGAACTCAAGGCAGATTTTAAGCTCATGAGAATCGAGGATCTAATAAAACCTTGGTCTTTATTTCGTGGCTCTAGGCGCAAGGTGATTATTCTGACACACCTTTGGCTCTGTCACTGCCATTTCTCCCACATATCTTCTCTGCGGTAACCCACTGTGTACCTGCGAAAACTGTGAAACGGAACTTAACATGGAGCACTACACTAACTAAGCTAAGAGATAGCCACCGAAGGCATCACCTTGCTATCTCTCTGGTAATTACGATTCCTGCTGTGCTTGTTGCTTGCTTATCTGAGAGAGTAGGATAATGCCAGTTAATGTGTCTTTCACACGGGAGATTTGAAAGTGTTTATTTGTCTTCTTTGATGCCAAACCTCTCTTCATATTGAACAAATCATATTCCTTTTTTACTTTGTTTTTTAAATGTTTTACCTTGACACAGTCACAGTGCATACTGTTCTTAAAATACTTTGACATGGGCGGCAATGACCCTAGATATTGAAATACTGTTAAACAGTTAAACTGTTAAACCAGTTAAACTGTTAAACCTGTTAAACAGTTAAACTGTTAAAACTGTTAAACCACGATCATCATCATCATTAACAATATAATAATTTGAGAAAATAATTGTTTGGAAAAATCAAATATTCCTATATAACACACAAAAGTTACGCAAAAACCACTCTTTTTAAAAAATTATATTTTCATATATAGTACAATCAATCACCCAATTACAATTATTTCACAAAAGTGGAGAATTTATAAAATAAAATATACAAAAAAAAATCAACAGTAAATTTCCTTTCAAGAAAAGTCTCATATTCTTCAAAAATCTAATCGCAGATGCAATAATATCTACTGAATTGAACATTAACATTCTACACATCCTCCGAAGTGGTGCAAAGTAATATACATTTGTTATAGCAAATGGAATTACAAATAGAGAGGTTTTTTTATACCGTGTTCTTTATTCCGGTGTAAACCAAGGGATCATAGAATACAAATCATATGCATCAATATTTCCATTAATTAAATCATAAAAAAGTCTAAATTTGATAAAATTTATATTCTATTAAAAATTCAATAGGTTAGCTAATGGCTGTCTGTTATTCACTGATTAATTAAATGAATAAATATGATAAAGTTCCGCAAGTTTCTTTATAGACGGTCAAAAATTGAAAAGGTTTGAAAAACTGGGTTTTGAAGGATTTTTCATGAATCAGTAAATCTCGTGAAATTATTGTAGCATTGTGTGTTCCACAAGGGTCATACTTGGGACCAATTTTATTTATAATTTTTATAAATAATATAATAACTGCTTTTGAAAACTTTTTAATTTTCTTTTTTTAAATTATAGGCAGATGATTTAAATTTTGATAAATGATTAATGAGGACTAATACAATTAATGTAAATTATTGAGATGTGCTAAAGGTAATAATGAAGTCCAGAATTTGTATTTGATTGGATATTTTGTGATTGAGAAAATAATCAAATTAAAGATTTAGTAGTAGCGATGGATCCAAAAATGCTATTTTATGATCATATTAATTACATAGTTAATGAGTTTTTAAAACTATTACGTTTTATATAAACACAATCATCACACTTTAAACAACTTGATACAATAGTGAATTTGTGTAATACATTAGTGAAATAACAATTGATGTACTGCTCATCAGTGTATTGAATTGAATTGAATTTGCCTTATTTTACGTGGCGAGACTCGGGCCATCAGGCCCGCTCTTCCGTCTGACCACGCTAATTTCGCTACGCTCCTTTCACCAACTAGGAGAGAAAGGAGGTATTTGGGCGAGAAACAGGCGATTTGAATTTAGCTCAGAGGCGTCATTTAGGCTTGAGGATCTTTTACATGCAAGTAAATCTACGAACATGGGACAGCCGGCTTTACTTCCCCTCCAAAGGAAGGCGTACGAAGGATTTTTTCGCCCTTAAAAATCCACGGCTTCGATCGGGTTTGAACCCGCCAACTTGGGTACAACAGTCCAGTACGCTAACCGTTACATCATCGCAACCGCACCAGTGTGGTATCATTGTTAATTTTGCAATAAAAATATTAGAGAGTGTACAACAGATTTTTCAGTTATGCATCATTCAGAATTAAAAATCCAATGTCAATTTATTTCCATGATTATTCAGATATTTCTCTGAAAACTAAATTACTGTCTTCATAGTCTTCACGTGTCTTACAGGACAATACATTTTTGCACTATCTTTTAAATGCTAAAATTTATTGCTTAGAATTACAAAATTTATTTGTTCACTACAATAATTCATGTAATACAAGAATGAATATCTTATTTCAAGAAATGTTTTGCAAAATCAAAATTAATACTGTTCATCAATACCTTGATTAACAAGATATTACAATGAATTTTTGAACAATGAACAATTAGGAATGAAGGTTTGTAAGATATTGAAACAAAAAATATTGGATTTTAGCTAGTTAGAATTATTTTTTCACTAATTTGTAAATTTGTTAATTGAATTTAGTTTGTTTCTGTTAATGTTATTAATTTTAATATTTGTTACTATGTACATTACTATTTGTTATTTACGTTACTATGTTACTATGTGTGATTTATAATTTCATTTGGGCAAATAAGCCTGTTGTGTAAATAAATAAAATAGTATCTATAAGATCTCAAAAAGCTCAAACTTAAAGTCAATGCAATTTAACTATATTAATGAGTTCCTCTTGGTAGATAGATTAGCTTCCAGAAGGCAAAATTGAGGAACCTGTGATAAAAAGGAGACCAAACTTTTGGCGCATAAAACAATATGCCTGATTACTCTGATCCAAATTTTTCAGCAAATGTTGGTAACAGTAGACCTCCTCTTTCTGAAACCACGTTGCTCCTCAATTAAAAACAGATTGACTTTCTTCATCAATTTAGTTGTTATTATTGATTCCATCAATTTGGATATCATTCACAATAGAGATCGGCCTGTAATATTTTATATTGTAATAATTATCGTTTTTAAAAATAGAAATAATAAAGCTTGTCTTCCATAATTTTTGAGGGAGTACTCCCTGTCGTAGTGATTTCTCAAACAAAAATTGTAGGATAGGTGACAGGTTCTCATTACAATGTTTCATTAATATGACAGTTATTACATCAAGGCCAAGAGAACTATTTATCTTCAGCATTAGAAACATCACGTTATGTAATTTCCACAAAATCAATATCAATATCAGTCCATCTAAAATCACACTTGTACTCACAAGGAACAATATCATCGGAAGTATATACAGATTCATAATATGAAGCAAAAAGATTTACAATCTAATGTGGTGAATCAGTATGATATTTATAGTTCTTCTAAAAGGATCTTATATCATTATTTATTGAAGATTGAATTTTAGCTAAATAATTTGAGTAATCCTCAATTGTTTAGCTTTACAGTTTTTGCAAAACGTTAAGAAACAAAGGTACTCTCTGATACTCAATGATTTTTTGTACTTCCGGTGTAAATGAGCTTTTTATCGAAGCATACACTTTAATTCAATTGAATAGCAGTAGGGAAACAATGAGAATGATAAGTCTTTTGGGAACGTGTGTCTCATTGATTTGATACATTTTCTCATAAAAAATTTGAAGTCATTTAACAATGTCAATATTTAAAAACAGAGGATGCCAATCAAAGTTTAATATTTCTTGATTAATTGCAATAAAATCAGCCTAATCAAAGTTATAGCTTGTTTCTCGAAGATTTGCTAATGGAATTTCATGAGTAAAACGTCAAGTGCAGGATGGTAAGTATCGCATGGTAACAAAAAGTAATCAGCCTTATTGACCAGAGATGTGTGATCATAAGCAAAGATTACGTCCTGAGTTTAATCTTTACTATTTAAAACATCATTACATTGCAACATAATCAGTAATGATTATCATAACATTGTAACGTAAACAGTGATAATCAGTAATGTACAAATAATATGAACAGAAGAATCAGTTTTCAACAGAACAAAAATATTTTCCACACAAGACTTGTAAGTTAATATCAAAGAGCTATTACATTTACTGTGAACAGCTTCGAAAACACCTCTGCCATGTTCCTTGACACTTGTAGATGAATTTCTGTCAAGTCTATAGATGCAATATGAATATAAGTTGAGTTCTGCATCACCAATACCCTCATGCAGCCAAGTTTCCATCAAAATCATTATATCCAAGTGGTCAAACGCTGGTAAAGATGTATTTAGGTGTAGTTTGATGTGAAGACCTCTGACATTTTGTTATGTTGACAGTCTTGAGGATTGCCCACTTCTCAGATTTCCAAACCAGATGATGCATATTCATCTGTCACATGAACTCTAGAAATATAAGGCACACCATTTTGGTATTTCAATTTTTCTGCATGTATACCCCTTTCTTAATCAGATTTAAATTCATTTAAGTTGTTAAAAAGAATTTCCTTTTAAGTGCCATTGCCTTCTGTGTGCGATTGGCGGAAATTTTAGCAGGGCCATTTAAGTTCTTCTACCCTTCAAAATGGCAAGAACCATCGAGCGACTTTTGAGAGTTATCCTCAGGGGATGAGGTTTAGGTGAGGAGACAGGGAAGTCAAGATTTATCCACTTTTTTGCTACCAGGGCTCATCAGTAAGAGTATTTTCTGTCGAAAATTCGCTGTTTACCGGTGTACGATTACAATACTTTCTCTTCTTACGAAGTAAGGGCGAGAAAGTTAAAAGCGCATAATGTATTTGCCATGTTTTATTTCAAACTTTGGTAATTCCACTTTTCAAAATTAGCTAAACACGATTTATTTTCGTACCTACATAAATAGTTATTGTGAAATAAAAATGTTTGTCTTTTGGTTTGAAGTATGTAATTGCCAAAACCACTGGACTTTTCTCTTAACATACTAGTACATATTATGTACATAGTTTCATGTTCCATTTGCTAAGCAAGCAAACTTGTTTGTAAATTAATTTTTTGCAAGTATTGTGATATTTGTTTTGCAGCTCGTGAGTCAGAGCTTCGACAGCTTCGAAAGAGCAACACTGATTATGAACAACAGAATGCAATCTTGCAGAAGCATATTGAGAATATGAGAGCTGCAGTTGATAAATTGGAAGTAGAAACATTACAACAACGTAGTAATAATAATGCACTGCAGCAGCACTTGGAGCATCTGCGTACTACATTGGCTCAGGGTTTTGAACAGTTACCTTTGCCAGGTGAATATGTTGTTCTTTACCTTATGCATGTGATTGTTTCCTTACTTACATGGCACAATTCAAGACATATTAAGATATAAGATTACGTGGGAAAACTCCGTTGCCATGAAAACAAATTTTCCAAATGTAGTATACATATTGTTTTTATTGAGTAGATAAAGTTCCACTTGGGACTTCAAAATATTTGTAACATGGTATTTCCATTGAAAATAAACAATTATTTTTTGTAAATTTTTCTCTTAATTAATATTTTTAAGTCCAAAAATAGATTGTTTATTATTCCTCTTCATAGTTGCATAACTATGAGCTTATTCATAATGTATTAGAATTCTGTGAATAGTTAGTTTTTATGAAGAATGTATGCTTAATATTGAATGGAAACAAATTATAATCAACCTATTTTGCAATATTTGTCTTTAAAACCGTCAACAATGCAAAGCGTTCCTTAGCTTTCAATTGAAAGGGTTAAAGAATTGTTTATCTCTTATTTTGCAGGTAGTAATGAAACGCCTACAATTCAAACCATAGATGGCTATATGAGTCGCTTGCAACAATTACTCTCCGAGCAGTCTGGCAATGAGCGTGAACAACTAGCAGGAAAAGTACGTGCTGTAATAGATCGGTTTGAATTTCATGGATGACCATTGCCTTCCCGAGGACATCACCCAGTGGTTGTCCTCACTCCTGCCAATATCCATCCTCGAGTAATAGGAATGGCATCAGTTATGTCTCGCAAACATAAATAATGGGAGACATTCTGTGCATCTGTAAGCATAAAAGATGCCTTTTGCAAGATATTAATACTTTTTGTCATAATGGAAAGTGAATATTATTCACAAGAAAAATATGGGAAATGCTGCCATAATTCCCAAATGTGATGTTTTAGTGATGAAATGTAAATTAAACACTAAACATTAATTTGTGTTTTTGCTGGTGCAGGTGATTGTTGCACTTAAGAATACAAATGTTAGTAATCACTGAACATAAATGAAACTGAAATGTCTACTGTAATTAGTAAGATTGGACTTCTGCCTCGGAAATTAAAATTTCGTGAATAGAGTTAAAGTATGTGCTGTGCGTTTTTAAATATTGCATATGCTCTGCATGTGGTTTAGTTTTGCAACCAATTTTTCTGAGTATGATACCTTGTATGAGAATAGGATTAATTATAGATTATTGTTCGATATTGCAAGAATTTTCCATGTTTAGACCATAATCGCCACTGATTATTTCAGCATGTGGTATTCAAATTGAAAACTATGTGGACCAGAGGTAGTGGTAGATAAGCTTTAGTGCTTTCTGGTGCCCAACAGGCTTCTACTAGAAATGTGTACAAAAATTGTATTTGCCCGTGAGTAAGGCACCCTTCTTTTTTTCTCAGTAAAAGTGAAGATTGGCATGCATCTATCCTCTTATGCTTTGTTCAGGCCAGTATGTGATTATTTTGACAAGTTCTAAAACAGTTAAGCATCTCCCAAAGATCACATTGCTGAGTCAAATGTATTCTTCCATCAGCCATATGGGCTGGAGTGCCAGCTGATACTGTGTGAGATGTGTCAGATGTGCAGGGAGTGCAGTTGGAGATTACGGAAAGTACACTTACTCATAAAGAATAATCATGTAAGTAATATTTCTTTAAATAGAAGGTTTGAAGTGTACTTGTCTTGTACACGTAGGCTTCCGCGGCTCGAGTCCATTACTTCTAGGCTGTCCGGGTGACGCCACGTCGTTGGCAGATAGGCCGACGTTTCGCCTGTCATGTCGCAGGCTTCTTCAGGGTACTGACAGTACCCTGAAGAAGCCTGCGACATGACAGGCGAAACGTCGACCTATCTGCCAACAACGCGGCGTCACCCGGACAGCCTAGAAGTAGTGTACTTGTCTTGCATTCTATCTACATAAATACCTTGATTTCTTGCTAACGTTCTTAAGTTGTCAGAATTACAAAAATAATATGGAGTGCTGGGGCACAAGCACAAGATAGCCAATGCTTGTGAAATGAATATGAATCATTTCTACATGTGACTCACCAACCACGCTTCGCAATATATTTTGGCTGAAATCAGTGTCAAAATAATTGCTCATGCACTGCATATAATATAAAAGTTTAAATTCTAACATATTTATGTTTAACAATGTGCCAAATGTTGTGCATACCAAGCAAGATCCACCTGTTAAGTGAAATTTAGATGTAATTTTTTGATTTTGTATAGAATTTCTATTTCTAATCACAGTGAATTGTTAAAATATTGTTTAAATCTGGTATATCATTCATGTTAAGGCTGAAGAATTTTTGGGTTTTCATGACATTTTAGATTTGCTACATACTTTCTCAGCTAAATATCAAGTTGAAAATATACATGTTAAAATTTCTTAGTACTGTAAAGTTGTAAATTGTAAAATGCAATGATGGTATTTTTTTTAAGGTACTTATAAAAAGGACATATTGTACATAATGCTCATACCCTGGCAATTACTGAGTAGCAATAATGTCAGTCACCAATTTTTGCCTTTAGAGACTTTACCATTGTGGACAAAGAACCAATCATGAATGGGTACTTGCTCAATTTCTGTAGAAACAGCCCTTTTTATTTATGCACAGAGTAAGGTCAGATTCAGTAAAGTATCTGGGGGTGGGGTGGCTATTAGGGAAAATCAAATATGGAGGGTAGAATTAAGGTAACTCGATATCCATCCAATCTACTTGATGATATGTGATATTCTTTGCACCATATTTAAAGAACATTAAATGCTTTGTAATTAAACATTTATTTTATTGTTCCAAGATTTCCAAATTTGTACCGAAAACATTAAGCATTCCTGTGAAGCTTGTTTCAAATGATACCAAATCCACCTGAGAATATTAGAGTAGAGCAAAAAACATGCCTCAGCTAAGGTCATTGTTTCATTGAATCGATATTTTGTGAAAGTCTAAAATACTTCATGACGAATTAGATGACATTGCATTCTTTATGCATTTTAATTTTGAGTTTGAGATGTTGTGTCATAAAATGTAAAAAAACATTTCTACAAATGTAATTAATGACTAAATAACTATCAAAAATGATATTTTTGTAATATTTAATATGAATTATTGCCTGAAAAATATTTCTGTCTACTTGACACCTGGGGTGGAGTAAAGCAATGTTGTCACTTACTCAGGCGGCATACAAGTGATCGTGTGGTCATTCTTATATCATATCAGGATGGAAGCATATTTCTTTTTCTTCTTCTTTATCTTTGTCTTCTTCTTCTTCCTCCTCCTCCTCCTCCTCCTCCTCCTTTAGTTCCTTTTGGAGAATAGAGCCTATAGGAATGATTTGTTTCCACGTCATACCAGTCTCCTGGATCTTTCCTTCCACTGTCCTTCTCCATGTTCTTGGCTTCTACTCCCTTGTGGGTTCCAATATGGTCCTTCTCTTTCAATTGAATTTCGTGGTTTTCTTAAAGTCTGTACCATGTGGACATAGAATATATCTAGTTCCATTTCCTGCATTTTATTTGCATTGATATTGATGTTTCATCAGCGTTCTTCAGCAGTGCATTTGTTATTACTTGTGGCCACCTAATGTTTAGGATTCTTCATAGACATCGGATTATGAATACATGTAATTTATTTGTTATTTTCCAAGTTTCTGATCTGTATAAAAGCACAGATTTTTACATTTGATTTGAAAATATGTAGTTTTGGTTTTAAGGCAATATTCCTGTTTTTCCAGATTTCTTTTAATTGTATAAAATAAGCATTTGCTTTGTTGATTCTTTGTTTAACATCTTCATCTGCTCCTCCATCATCAGTTATTATACTCCCCTGTTATTGAAACTTGTGAACATCATCTTCTTCTTCCTGGTTAATTTGAAAGGTGTCTTGTACATTTGCAGTTATTCTTAAAGATTTTGTTTTACTACAATTAATTAGCAGCCCTCCTTTCTTTGCTTGCTCATATATTTCATTAATCTTTGACTTCTTATTCATAAAATTTTGAGAGAGAAGACATACATTGTCTGCATACTCTAGGTCTTCAAGAATTCCCTTCAAACCCTGTCCAATACTTCTTTTTTTCTTTGAAGTTACTCTTTCCAGCACTGCAATAAATAGGAGAGGCGACAGGATGCAGCCCTGTTTCACTCTCTGTTTTGCTTCTATTCTGTGTGATCGTTTCCCCCCATGTATTAGGTAACATCCAAAATCATTCTAGTTGTTTTAGATGTTCAATTAAAACAGCAAGTATGTTTCCTTAATACTATCCAGCTACTGTTTTGATTTAGCAAATCAAAAGTCCCCTGAAAATCAAAAAAACAACACGTATCTGACTTCTCCATTCTACATTCTGTTCAATAATTATTCTCATGATGTTAATCTGGTCAATACACGTTTTCTCTGAACGGAACTCAGCTTGCTCTCGGTGTATGTTTTTCTCAATTTTCTTCATTCTATTAAATACTATTTTGGACCAAATTTTGCATGGATAGATAATAATGTGATCCCCCTCTCATTGTTGCTGTCTGTGAGGTTTCCTTTCTTTGGTAATTTTGCAAATAGTCCTTTCCATTCTGCAGGGATCTTATTCTTCTTCCATACCTCCTTACAAAAGTGGTAGAAAATCATTGAGGCATGCAGTTTATTAAATTAGTAGTAGAATAAGAAACATTAATAATGATGCTTGATTATTTCATGAAGTACTTTACCGCAGCAAATACAGGTTTTCTCTGGACGGAACCCAGCTTGCTTTTGGTGTATTACTCTAATCCTACTAATGAAAGGAATAACAACATTTTTTGCACAACATGCGCAAAGCAAGTGAGAAGTACAGCGAGACACATTTTTAAAAGGAAAACACACAAAATGTAAAATTTTATCCATTTTCACACATTTTAAAAGGAAAACGCTTAACCGAACAAGAAATGGCACTCCTAAATTTTCAGCAGCTTCACGCTGTAGAATTTCGTGTTTTAAAATAAGCATTGGCAACTGCAGTGACATCATCACAATTTGAAGCCTTTTATTGGATAAAGGAAAACCCCTCTAATATGTAAAATAGTTTGTAATTGACTGCAAAGAAGTCAATCTCACTTCCACACTTGATTGTCTAATACATCTATCTACATACACAGAAAATTTTAACAGTCTGTAAGTGTGTGGTGTGGGATTGGGTACCAACAATGAGATTTAACTCTGTTTATAGGGACAGACCGTTATATTTATCAAATTCTTAAATTATCATTGAAACATGTTGATGTTTAGCCAAAAATTGAATATTAAATTTGTAGTAAGGAGCCTCACCATCCCTGTGGTGGATAAGGTTTCCTGTGTGCAAGATACTTTTAAAATCTTCTTTCTTTACAATGTCTCAACCCCCTACTGTAAGGAGACCAATTCCTACAGAATACTCTGACTTTGAGTAAACTAAGATGAAAAGACACGTTTTTAGTTCAGAAGTGAATTTAATTATCCTTGCCAGCTTAATGACAAATCCTCAGATTCTATTTACACTGCCAATAAGTTGTGCAGTTTAAAAGACAAGTGTCGATTAAAAATATTACCAAAATCTCTAATTACTGTAACAGTAATTGCGTGTTACCGATTCAATATTCAAAACTAATTTGCTTTGACGTGGAGGAAGACCTTACTATGCACAGTGCAGTGTTCAAAATCAGTATAGTGGTGTTCCAAACTACATTCATAAAATTTGCTCTAATTACTCTTGCAGTCCTCAACTGCTTTGCTCCTCAAATTACATCACAGCCCTCAACTGTCTTAGCAAACCAGATGATTGATAAGGAACATGTTGCTCAATATTCACACAATTTTATAGGTACAAATTCAATGGTGTGAATAATCATCAGTTATATCCTATGCAACATTTGAATAATTACTTAATAGCTTAATATATTGAAGGCTTTGGAGAACTCGGTATAAATGACATCAGTCAAATCTGTATAAATGCACTCGGTCAACTTGAGGGCAATTGACTGAGAATGGTAGCAAATTGGTAACTATTGATCTCCCCTCACAAAGGCATGTCAATGAGCTGAAATACACTGTTTAAAAGCACTGTACAAAATATCAAACAAATGAATTCCAAAAATCATAGCAAAATGGGACAACAGTGATATCTGTCTGTAATTATCAAATATACCAGTTGTACCACACCTCATTTTAGCATTGGGATTATCTTGGCTATCCTCCAAGCTGATAGGAACATGCGAAACAGTATAGCCTTTTGTAGAATTAAAAATAATGGTAAGTGAAGGTGTGGCCATGTTCTCGGGGGCCATTGTACAGAAAGTCCAAATGGGGCCCCTCATTGCCATTGCCATCTTTATTGGGGTCCTCATTCAGGGTCTTTGACTTCGGGGACCCCAGTGCCATGCCCTGGTTGCATCAGCCTAGCTAAGCCCCTGATGGTAAGGTAAGAGCCTCAGAACATTTATTAAGCAATAGTGTTGGAATTTCATAAATTCTGGAGGTTAATTTGTTCAGGGGCATTCTTTGAACGGATGTGTGGATTTAAAAAAAAAAAATTGTTGTTATAAATGCTAACTCCAAAAATGTTCCGTTGGCAAGTTCGTTTGTATTTCAAATATAATCTTTGTTTGTTTCAGTATCAGAATTATTTTCAAAGACACTCGAAAAAAGTCTATAAAGTTATCAAATATCACTCATGGGTCAGACAATGTATTTTATTATAGATTAGATGATGTGATATTCTATTTTATTTAAGTTTCTTTGTCATAGGTCCAAATTTCAATGGATCAACTCTCAATTTAATTTTTTATATATACACACACACACACACACACACACACTAAGGACTTCATTAACCAAATTAAACAGAAGCATTAATTGAAGAGAGAACTGAAAAAGTCTCATACTGTAAATACTGATAATAATACTGAGAATAGAGCTACAAAGATGAGGTATTATATTAAAAAGTTAATTCAATAACTTGGAAACTTCTATGATACAAAAATCCCACATATCAGATCCTTTTGTTCTCAAACATGTCTTAGTTTAATGAGATGATAATGAAGATCTAAGTGGAGCAAGGTTTTGGTCTAATTGGGAGAATCCAATAGGTAAGGTAGTAGAAAAGGCACTGTTCATTGGGGGCTATCTCAGAATTTGATTGTAGAGGTATGGGGAGATACAGCAGATCTGCTGACATCAATCTTGTTCATATCCTTGTTAAATCTTTTATATCTTTCAGAACCTGTTGTAAATCTTTTGCACTAGACGTTATTATAATGTTTAAAAGGCACTTAAAACAAAGCCTAGAATCTGTCCCAATTCATCTTCCAGAGAAGCTCACATGGGAGCAATCTGGAACACCACTGGTACCTTGCTGAGAAGGGTGGGTATCAACAGGCAAACAAAACAGCTCTTAAGGCGATTCTGTCCAGTATAATAAAGAAACAAAACTGAAATAATGATGTGAGGGGAAATTATGACTGTTTTATTGATTTAGTAACAGCAACATTTATTTGTTTACTAAATGGACTCTTAGGTCCAAATACAAAAGGTTATAAAAATATATAAGTGTAAAGGCAGCGTGCAAATTTTTAATAATAATACGTTGTAAAAATGATTACGTTCTCAAAATATTAATGAAGGTAGTAAAATTGCAATTAAATATATCAAAATCCAGATATTTACATTGTTACAAGTCCTAAAAACTCAATTGTTTGATGTGTAATTGTGGGGGAAAATTCTCAGTACAGAAGGCCAAAAATGCTTTGAGGGCCTTGTCAGAATTCTGTA